TGTGAGCGCCAGCACGGGGATGGGCTCCCCCAGCTTCCCCAGGAAGTTCGGCCCTGGACGCTGAACCCACCCGGAGCTCCAAAAGGTTCGAGTGGCTTAGTCTTCCCCCGGGGAGGGAAGAGAGGAGCAAGGCCGGCTGTTCCCCCTCCCCTTGCCGGGCAGCATGGACCAAAGCGTCGTGGATCACCCGGTGACCCTCATCATTAAGGCCCCCAACCAGAAATACACCGACCAGACCATTAACTGCTTTCTGGACTGGACTGTGGGCAAGCTGAAATCTCACCTCTCTAAAGTCTACCCTAGTAAGCCGGTGAGTTGGCGGCCAGCCCTTTGTTTTTTTTCATTCTGTCGGTAAGGCTGGCATTGCAGTGACTTGTGGACAGGCGGTCGAGAGTTTTTTTCTTCAGGCACTCTACAGAATAAACAAGATCCGTGCTGCCAAAGAGCTGTCTGCGTAGAGACAATGGCCGGGTCTCTGCTTTCAGGGAAGCTGGCAGTAAAACAGCTGCTCTTTTGTATGGTTTAAGAAGATTACAATATAGCATCCTGGAAGGTGGTATTGCTGAAGGCACTTAATAATGCTCCATTTAGCTTTTATAGGAACCGGAATTTTGATATCTTGGTTCATTTAAGACTAACTTCTGTAAATGTAATGGTTCTGTCTAAAGTAATTATGCTATACTTAAGTGATATAGTTAAAGTTACTACTCTCTAGTGAATTCACTGAGGTGCGGAGCAGATAGATATTTATTCATAATATTATTTGAAACATGCACTTGAACAACCTCCAAATTTACTTCCTTTTTTCTCCTCTTTGAAAAGCCATTTTTTTGAGATTGTGCTGAAAACTCTGCTCTCAGCTGTTAAACTTGTATGACAGTTGTGACTGTATTTTGAAACTTAATATAGAAGCTTATATTTTTTTGTTCACTGAGGAAAATAGTATTTTTTTTCTAAATTATTTTAAGTTCGACATTTAGCAATTAAAAAGATGTGATGAAAAAACATATGGACAATAATAGAGAACACTGTAACTCTTTAGAATGGCAGTCACATGGAACAGTGTAATTGAAAATTTGTTCCAGAAAACTGTCTAAAGGGAGTGACTTTGCCTTCACAATGCAGCAGCAGCATGTGGGGCCTAGACCTTGCTGTAGAAAACATCAGACAAAGGTTGCGTTTATGTTGTAAATGATTGGTATTCACCTAGTTCAATAGAAGAATTTTTGGCATTGTTGATTTCTTTTTTTGAGGGGGGAAAAGGCAAAATAGTAGTTTTGTCTCAGAGAAGGTTTCTGCCTTTTGGAGAAAACAGAAGAAAAGCAGTGAGCAACTTAGGCTGTGTCAGTGGTGCACTGAAATCTTTTAATCAGTATTTGATGGTTTGTGAGTTATTGCTGTGAGTAATTCTCTGCTGAGGGACCTTATCTGCTCTAAAAGAAACCAGTATATGATTTCAGTTGGTTGCTACTTATGTTCCTCACTAGAATCTCCTCCTGTGACGTATTTGTGTTTAAGCATTAGTTTTCTGACTCATGATCTTGCTAAATTTGGCTTTTAGGAAGAATCCTTAATGAACAAGAGGTTTTTATGTTGCACTGTAGGTTTCAACCAGTATTATAATATTAAATTTCAGTTTCCTGGAACATCTTTCTTCTGTTGAAAATTGATTCCTTAGCATGCCTGTGCTTATTAAATGTAGTCATTCAGAATCCCCAAAATTGTTCTGGCTTAAAGAATGGGGAATTTCTTTAGTGAAAATTATCCCAGTAATGCAAATTTAATTTGGATTTACTGTACTTTCAATTAAAGTAGTAACTGAACGCAATACTTTTATTGCATATAGTATTTGGAATTAAAGTAATAACATAGGAGGGGAGAAAGTTGCCTAATAAGATGTCTTATGCACAGTAAAATTGAAAAGTGTATTTTTGGGTTGATATGTTTTTGATGTTGTGTTACTGTTTTTTTTTTTTCAAACTTGCTTAATTCCTGTGCTTTTAGGACTTTCACTGTCTGCTGCCCCCCCCCTTTTTTTTTTTCTTCTTAAGCCAGATCAGTGTCAAAAGCTTGTTGATCAAATTTCTACATTCCTTGGATGTGATGGGTGCTGGAAATAACTTCTATTGCAATGCTATTTTAATAGTACGAGAATACATCAGAAGACAAATGTTCTGTACAGGTATTACAGTGTTCTTGAAGTTAAGGGTGTAAAATAGAAATCAGTTGCTATCGCTGCTATACATAGCCTTTCAGGTTTTTGTGTGACTTGTACATAAGTCTTCTATAGATGTCTGTAACTTAGTTAACAGTAAAAGTTCTCACTAAATTTACTGTTTATTTAGAATATGTCTTTAGAAACTGAGTTGTTTGAAATAAGCTAACAAGTAGTTAGGCCTTGAGCCAGTCTTGTTTGTGATTTTTCCAGATCAATTTGTGTAAATGACTTGGCTAAATACATATAAATTCTGAGTATAGGCACATTTAAGTTGGTGTAGTTGTTGTACAGTTTTCTATACTAAGGTAATCTGTCAATGCTTTTTTTCCCCTGACAGGACCATTTTTCTTAGCCAGAGTACTGCAGTTGTAGTCTCCCTAGATGAAATGTTTGTTTAAGAAAAGACAACTTGGAAAACTAACCTGTATGTCTCAGTCTGGCAGATTTTACATTCAGTGCATTAACTGCTGCATTGATTACACCCATAAACATTCATTTAAAACTGCTGTTTCTAATTTCCTGCAGTACCTGTCATCTAGCATATGCTTTGCCCACAGTTCTAACCAAATGTGGGTGTTTGGATTTTTATTTCCTATGGAAGAATGAGAGGGAGGCTGAGTGACCGAAATAATGGATGTCTTGTAGCTGAAACAGGATAGCTCAGAGATTGTTTCTAAAAGAGGTTGCTGCATTAGCTTAGGTTTGGTGGTTTTGGTAGTGTGCAGGACATCGCTAGCTTGGACTAAGCCTTGCAGAAGGAGTCATGCTTGAAAAACAGAATTAAACACTAGCTAATGAATTATTATTTTTAAATACTTACATTTTGCATTGTGGTCTGAAAAGTCTCTTCTCACTCTAAACTTTAGATTCTAGAATAATTCTCTCTGATGCTGTGTGCTTGCTTCTGAAAATGCGGCAACTCTAACAATATTTTTTTTCAAGTCTGTCTTTTCCATCACAGTTTAGTATTTGGGCTAACAGTGAGTGTGCTGTTCCTTGAAGCAGGAGATGTGGTAGCAAATCTCCTCTGGCAGAGGATGCGTTGAATACCTTTTCCGTTTACTTTGGCATCTATGTGAGTTACTGTGTTTTCACATTCATCACCTCTTCTTCTATCTGCATTTAAAAACCCTCACATTTCAGAATTCCAGAATAGCTTTCACCCTGAGAATTGAAAGTCATAATAATCCTGTAGTGCACAGTTAAGTATTTAGGCTATGTAGGGAGGAGTATGAGGTCTAAGACTTCGTCTTCCCCCATTAATGTCTCTAGCTTAATATGATTAACAGTGTTGAACATATGTGTAACCTTTTCTTTTGTGGTTTTGTAGGCAGCTGAAACACATTACTGAAGGCTATGTAGTAGTCAGCTTTGTGGGATCATTTTAATCTAGCAGTTTCTTCTCTGCATTCATATTAAAAAAACAATTGTACTACTTGTGTTTGAGAAGGCATTATTAGTTGGGGTTGAGGGGAGGTTCTCATAGAAGGTAGTGAAGAGAAGAATCTGAATTTGACCATGTAGAAAGCTGTATCATGCATGGGAAAACAGCACTCTATTGCCATATTGGATTATGGTGCAAAGATTTGAAGTTTGGTTTTTTGTTGTTGTTTTTTTTGCTTGTTTTGTTTTAATGGCTTGTGTTTTAATTAATCTAGATAATCTTTCTAAGGACCCAGAAGCAAGAGACCTTTCTTTTGGCTCCCTTGGTCATCCTAAAGCAACAAGTTTTTAATTTACAGGAAATCAAAGTTTTCCATAATCTTGATGCGTGCTGCATATTCTAGTTTTTCTAAGAAGGCCCTTCCCTAACATAAAATGCAAGTAAGCTTGTATTCTGTTAGCAGCCTGTTCCTACTTGAAAGGAGCAACCAAGATGGTATAGTTCAAAAGAACTTAGTCTGACATGAGAGAGGCAGGCATTTTTTGTTGTTTTAAACAAAAGTAGAAATAGTACAGTATTAATGTTGAATTCATTTCAGTATTTTGTCCATTGGAGCTGCAAATAACTAGTTCCCTGTGTTGTGAGACTTACAAAAACAGTGTATTATGTCACTAAAATACAGAAGAATACAGAAGAGTATAGAAAATGGTTCTTCAATAGGAGTGATAAACAGTTCTGTACTATATGTGGCAGGTTATGCACTCATTTTATAAACATGTGTATTTAATCATGACTATCTAGTATGAATTTGAGGAAAAAAAGTTAAAGCACAAGCTTCTCAAATTCAGTGTGTACTTTTGATAATTATTTACTTAGAGTAGCTGTAATTTTTTTCCTAGCGATATGACCAGACTTTTTCAGGGAGAAACAAGTTCTGCAACTTTTCTATGTTCTAAGTTATTGGGAATCTGTGAAAGGCTGTTGGAAGGAAAAAAAGGTTTCAAAACTTCTGATAAAACTTTTTCTAATCACAGAGATCTGGATCTTGGATATTTGTCTTAGTATTAGCATCAATGAGACTGCAGAGTGGGCAACAAAAGGTGGAGAGATTATGAGACGATAGGGGAGTTCTTCAAGTATTTCATGCTGATAATGTGTGTCTGTTCCACTGATGTCAGGCTTGACTTCTTCCATTTAACATTTGCTTATGTTAGTGCTCTCTTTCAAGTGATAAACACTATTGTATTAATTGAGGATGCAAGCAGGAGTTGAACCAATGTAACAGTTGGATTCTCTTTAAAATTTTTTCAATGAGTGAATATGTAGTAGCATATTGGGGGGTGGGAAATGAAGCTGTTTACTCAGAGTACAGCATGTTAGTGATCCACTATAGAATTAAGCCTGTTTAAAACTTATTTCTGACAACATAAACGGAATTGAGTGAGGTTGAGGTTTTTGTTAGGGGTTTTTTTTTCTTTAGACCAAGTACGCTACCTGTTGCTTTACTGTACTGGATGTCTTAATGTAGACAGGTACCCCAAATAGTTCCCTTTTAGAAATAATTTTGTCATTATCTCTTCAGTGTAGAATAATTTAAAGTTATTAAGTTAGGAATAACATTTTTTTTAAAAAAAGAAACAAACTCTTTGTTTGCATTACAGAGGTATTTTAAACTGTGGAAGTTAAAGAACAGGCAAAAAAGCTTACTAAAGTTTAAAGACTACATTAAAAACAATGCTTTTGGCACTTCATGCTTTTTAATGCCTTCTTCCTTGTTTCCTCTTGTGATCATTTTTGGGGGGATGGAAGTGGGGATGGGGACAGGTACTAATACCAGAATTTCTATGTCAAAAAACATTGAAATTTGTGCCCTCCTTCTGCATATTTTAATTATTATTCAAATTATTTTTTTTGTCTTTACCCTAGCTACTTTTCCATCTACTTTTTCAGCAAGTGCCTGGGAATAGGAGCAGGGTAAAGAGCAAGCCTTTAAAAAAGGGATTTTTAAATGTACTTGATAGGTTGTTTGCTTTTTTTTAATAGTTGGGGGTTTTTTTCAGAATTTGGGAGTTGGACTTGTGAAGTCTCTGAAATGTTTTTAAGGCTGTCTGTTGGTGCTTGGAGTTATAAGTGGTTTTCTCATCTGCAAATGTTATCTCCAGCTGTATACCTGTAGAGCAGGAAAAAGCTAAATTCCTTTCTTTGTCCCATCTCCTAGTCTACAAAGGATCAGAGACTGGTGTATTCTGGCAGACTGCTTCCTGATCATCTGCAGCTGAAAGATGTTCTCAGAAAAGTAAGCTTTATATCAACACCATATGATATTTGATCAAACCCCTTTTTGGGAAATAGAAATTTAGGTTTGTGTTGTTTAGCTTCAAATTTTCATTGTTGTACTGAGAGATGTAACCATATAATGTTTATGTTCAGGAAAATGTATTTTCAAGTATCTCTTGTATGTAGGATTGTGATACTTGTGGATTGAGGCATGTTTCCGATTGGTGGGAGAGCAACTAGGCTGTCAATCCCAAACAAGTGACATGTACTGTAGAGTGACTTCTTTGGACAGTTCCCACAAGGACCTAAATGGAATTGTCTTAAAAGATTTCTGTTGGTTTGGGGGGACATTTCATTTCTTGTATGTACTTAAGTCCAGAAACTTACATTAAAAGATGGCATTTGAGTAAGCAAGTGAAGGGTAATACATTCATTTGCAAAACAATGATAGGACAAGAGGTAATGGGCACAAGGTGGAACACAGGAGGTTCCACTTAAATTTGAGAAGAAACTTCTTGTCAGTGAGGGTGACAGAGCACTGGAACAGGCTGCCCAGAGAGGTTGTGGAGTCTCCTTCTCTGGAGACATTCAAAACCCACCTGGACGCCTTCCTGTGCAACCTCATCTAGGTGTTCCTGCTCCGGCAGGGGGATTGGACTAGATGATCTTTTGAGGTCCCTTCCAATCCCTAACGTTCTGTGATTCTGTGAAAACCAGAAGCCTAAATTCCTGAATGGTTTTGCTGGGAAAGCTATTTGTTTTCCTGGTTTTATTCATCAGCTGTCAGCTGTTTCTGATGATGTTTGACAGTTCTTGCGTTTTTAATTCCTTTTTTAGTTCTGCTGGTTCATCTTGGAAAAAATCATCGTACTAATCTAACTTTGGATTCTCCGCTCAACTTTTAAGCTAAATCCAAATCCCGAATACACGTGACATCTGATGTAGGAAATGTTGAAATACATGCAGTTGGTTCTCAAATTGATTCAGATAGTTTGGATTGATGCTACCAAGTAATAGGGACTTCATTAATTTAGTAAAATTTAAAAAATGTACAGAATAAGATGATATTTAGGGCAGATTACACAGAACTTGTTTAGATTTGATGGTAACAAAAAACATAATGCATTTTGTTTAGTAGTCTTTAAACTCCTTGTAAACGGAGCAGGATGCACCAGTAGCTATATTTGTAAAATACTTTAGGTCATTAACCAGTTACAAAGTTTTTAATCCTGTGAAATAGGTAAGCTTTGTAATATAGTACCTGGGTGTTGGGAGTGATATTTTTTTGTACTGCATTAAGGTAAAAATCAATGTACAGACTGCAAGAGTGGGTTACATTTTAATATTTAGTATGGAGGGAAAAAATTCTACAGGAGAGAAGTGCTTTAGCGCAAGTGGGCAACTGAACTTCCGTATTAAGTATGGAGAAACAGATGCAGAGGAATCTTGGGTATTGCTTGAGCAGACTAACACTGTTGTTACTTTATTGCCTTTATTCTGAAGTAGCTTTTATTAAATTAGATTTAGCTGCTTACCAAAAAATGATTTAAATTTACTATGCGTAGGTTCACTGGAAAACTGGAGCTGAACTATTGCCAGCCAGTGTATATCTTTTGTACCGCTTAAAAGTTCACTAAAATGCTTATATAGCTTACCATAAAGCTTAGTTTTGCTTGTTAAGGACAAAGTAAAGTCTGAATCCCTTAAATCCACTTGGCCTGCTTGCAGTAGAGTAGTTTTAGGCAACACAATTTCAAACCTTGCTTATGTCCTAGAGGAGAAACTTTACGTAAAAACGTCTTCCTTCACTATACAGGGGCTATATTTGACGTTAATAGCTATAGGCCTTGGGTTTAGTTAAAAGAAATTTAGTGAATTTAGAAAAGTACTCATCAGTATTAAGCACAAAGTTAAAAACTTGTGTTCGGAGAAGAGTTTTATGTGCTCAGGGTTTTAAGAGCTTTTGGGGAAAAAAGGTTTTACTTTTAAGCTCAGTCTCATTTTCTGTCATATTCTTCCTGTTTGATTAGCTATAAATTCCTGATGGTATCTGAGGATTTAGTAAATCTCTGAAATTGGCTTTGTGATACTGAGCAGTGTCCTTTCGATGATATAAAATACCTTGAGGCTGTAAGTTGTGGTGCTCTTCAGGCATAGTAATGTTCAAAATGTTTTGTATAGATAGAAATATATTACAATAAACTTGTATTGAATAAAGCTGTACACTGCAAGATTACAAGTAATATGTCTAGCTTCCTTTGCCTCTCTGAGTGGCATAAGTTCTTATTTTAAAGAAGGTAATTAGTTAGGTTTCTGGCTTTTGATGTCAGGGTGCTGATCAGCTGTGTTCAGTGCTCTCTGATCGTTGCTTACTGTCACTGACTGGTAAGAAACTGCACCTAATCGTAATGATGAGGCTGTGCTTGGGGCTTCAAACTGATATGTGTGGAGGAGTTTAAATGAATGGGGGTGTGGATAGGCTATGCTAGCATTAATGCACCATGGTGTATAAAAGCAGTTATCCATTTTTTTTAATTATTCCTGAAGATAAAAACTTAAAAATGAGTAAGTGTGTGGGTTTTTAAAATGGTTTTAAAAACCAAAACCAACAAAACTCCAGGCCTGGTATTTCTAAATGTCATCTCATTAAAAAATGCAGCTTGACTGCAGCATGCAGATTTCAGAAGACGATTTTTTTTTTGGTTGCTTTTCTTGTTTAAAATTTGGTTACTGAGGAAGCTGTAGTGTGCAATTTAAATACAGTCATAGCTGTTCTTGTTGCTATGGCCATATGAGCTTCAGGCATGCTAATATAATGAGGTGTTTTTATTTGGTACAGTGAAATAGCTTCAGATTGAAGTTGTTATGGCATCCGTGTTGGAGATGGGAGCATATTAATGAAGAATTGGTGTGGGCTGATTACTTGCATGCTGACATGGCTTCAGATGGTGCCACTCATTTGCTTCCTCACTTTCAAATATTTAGGAATACTCAAGTCCTATCTAGAACTTCACAAAGCATTGAGTGTGGAATATCTGCAGGGGCTCTTCAGTTGGGCTTGAGTAAGCTTAGACTGCAGTGAGGTAGAGGCAATGGCTGGTATGTTTTTCTTACCTTGGTCTGCTTGTGGAATTCCAGCACCTACATTTTTCATTTGCCTTGATGTCTTTATTGAATAATACTCTTCATTAGATCTCAATGCAAATGTAAGCATTATTAACTTCAGGGAAACCAAGCTCTGGAAGGGTTTGAGATTTTTCAAAAAATGAAGTTCGAGCATATGATATGTTTCTCTCTGTGGTCTTCCATTGGTTCTGCTGTGCTGCAGTTCTAGGGAAAACAGGGTAAGTGAATGTTCAATATGTTATTGTGGACAGCTGCTAAGAAAACATTAGTGGTGAAATAGTAGACTTTTGTGCTAGGCTCAAGTTTTGCTTTATCATCTCTCCATTTTGTAAAGTTTCTTTACTGATTGCAAATGCAACTTTGAAAGTCAGTTTTTAAAGAAATTTCTTGCTTGTAAATTCCTCAAATATTGTTGCTTTAGCTCTTCAATCTCTTTAATTTTTAGCAAGATGAGTATCATATGGTTCATCTGGTATGTACTTCCCGGACACCCCCAAGTTCTCCAAAACCCAGCACCAGTAGAGAAGGTCATGGAGCCTCAACCTCCAGCAGTAGCTCAGTGAGTTTTCTTTCATACACAGAGCATGAATTTCTTCTATACTGAGGAAGCTTTCCAGAAATTTGTCTTAATTTTTAAAATTTGGTTGTAAAATAGTGTGGTGAAAGTAGAGCATGCTGTATGCATTTGTACAATTAGACTCGATTATTTAAGGGTGCCACTTTATTTAAACAAAGATGACTTTTTTGAAATTGTAAAACAATTGTGTTTATTAAAAAAAAGTGCTTTATAAAGCACTACTTTTTCTAAGGTATTCTTAACTTTTAACACTTTCTTTATCAAAAAGTACTCTTTCTCTCCATATCCCTGTGTCTTTGGCAGAAATTGAGCAGTGTATTCAGACTAAAAAATACAAACCACAAAAAAAACCCAACAAAAATACCCCACTAAAACCAGCCTGCCAAAACCAACCCAAGTTGTCATTTATTTTGTGAAAATTCGTTGCTGTCGAGAGACCAGACAAATTAGTGCCTTTCTTGTGAGACACGCAGGTGGAGCTCGGCCAGTGTTCATTCTGCCTGACAGGAATTGGCCAGTACTTACTTAGTAGCTTCATGGTAGTTGTAGTGTCTGACAGGACAGTGAGAAGTAGGAAGTGTTATTAATGTTTTATTAGTTAAACTGTTCACAGAACACTTGTTAAGGGTGTTTTGAGTCTTCCCCTCTTCACACCGTTCAAAAATGGTGATGTTCTTTGCGTGTACTCTGTTTTAACAGAAGTGCAGTTAATGTTTCTGTTGATGACTTGGTCATCATCACTATAATCCTCTTGGCTTTTTCCAGAGCTGGCAGTATCACTAACTGACCCTTGAAGGTTAGTAAGAGAGGACTGTATGCAATACCACTGTAGATACTTTTCATCTGTGGTATGTTGATTGTCAGCGTGTGTGAAGTACCCTTCCAGTAATAAGCTGTTTTCATTCTTCTGTCAGTAGGGCACAGTTTCTGACTGCTGTGTGACAGTCGGGCACATAAGCAGTTTAAGCAATAGAGAGAGTGGACAGTGGTTACGTTGTCTTCTCAAAGGCTGTGTTTATGGGGGCTTGGACTGAAGGGTCTTCAGAGGCCCCTTCAGCCTCTACCATTCTGTGTTTTGTATCTCTCTCTGCAAGCAGGACACAGGTGGCCTCCTTTTGTGATTGTTTTATTGCTACATAGATCAGTTGTAAATGTTGTATCTTAATAACTGCTTAAAGCAGTCAGAATGCACAGTGTGAAGTTCATAATACTTTGAAGAAAGGAACCTAAACCCAAAGCTTGAATGGCCTTTGTTCTTCCATTTGTTTTTTATTTTTATTCCTGCACACCCCCCCCCAACTGTCTAGTGGTAAATTTTTCTTGTTTCCTTTGTAGGGCAAATATGATATGGATGTCTTAAGTAATTGCAGCTCCTCACTTCCTGAGTTGTCAAAGTTGAAGAGGATTTTCTATTGAGTAAACATTACAGCAATGCTTAGCAACAGGATTTGGGCATTTATTAAAACTAAAATAATGCAGCTCAGTGGCCAAATTGCAGTCTTGTAATGGTGACAAATAATCTAGGAAAGCCAGCTTTTGTCCTGCTTCCAGGGTTAAGTATTGATCTTGGAAAGCAGTGGAGGTCTGACACACAGGTTTTAGGTGTGTTTCTGAGAGCCGGAGTCATTCCTAGCTACTTCCCTGTTTCTACCCCCCGCCCCTCCCAGCAGTGAGCACAGCAGTTTGGATTGGGCAGCTGGTGCAGTGAAGAGAGGATGATGAGTAGAAGAGGAGATTAATGGCAAGAATAGAGGAATGGTATTTTACGCCACTGCAGGCATTGTTGTCTCTGAATATAAAGTAATATCCTCAGATTGTAGTTACTTTTATTAAAGGTAGCCACTATAATTTTTGTTGCTACCAAATATTCTTTGGATTAAGGTTTAGTTTGGTTCAGCTTTTTGAGACACTGATTCCCAGTGACTTGTGGTTTTCTCTGAGTCCTGTCAAGTGTTGAGTCTCTCCAGAAGCTTCAGTTTTTTTAATATGTGCACCTGAGTGCAATTTTGAATTTCTGCTTTTACTAAAGACTTGCCAGAACCAATAAAACCCCATAAGACTTGCCTGGTCCTTATATTCTCAATAAAACTTGTGACAAAACATTAAAGCAAGTAGGTTTTTTTTAAGACACAGTAGTAAATCCTGTAACCGTGGCAAAAAGATCCTCAACCTCAATTTTATTTATTTTAAAGAATTTGGACCATTCTGGATCAACTGCTGCCTCACCTTCAAATCAAGAAGCTTCATCTACATCTTTGAACACTAGTGCAGGTGGAGTGAGGCATCGTAATCTTCCACAAGTACAAAGCAATCCCATACCAAGCCACCAGTTCCCTTATGTAATGCAAGGGTAAGTGGGATTGAAGCAATCCTCAGTTCTTTGATACTCTTGAAAGTACTTTAAATGTTCAGTTGCAGTTATGTTTCTTTCACAGTCTGCAAAACTATTTGGCTAGTTCTTCTTGAAGCACAAGTCACACTTAAAAAATATTTTCAATGTGAACATTAATGTTTTTAGCCAGGAGTCAGTCAAAGAGTAAGTGTTCTTGGTGTTCCCCTTCAGGGTATTTTTTTAATTTTTTTTTTCTTCCTGTGTTCTGTCTTCAACCCTCTGATAAGTGCAGCTGTGATATTTATCTAGTGGATGTAGTTAGTAATGGAACTGGTAAAATCATTGCTTCTAGTTCCTTTTTCTAGTCCATTACTGTAATCCTGAACACTAAATTGCTATCAGAATACGATGGTTCTTAGTTTTTGACATGTAAGAGATGTAACTCTTCACTTCTCCATATTGGATTCAACTGTAGAAATATGTTGGTGTTTTGAGTACATGTAAGTGCTTGTGTATGTACATTTTTCATACATACCAATGAAATGTGTCTAGTATACATTTCTGGGTCAAGTCCCTTATTACGTAACTTTCAACATTCTGTTATATTTTGCACTCAAAATCAGCTTTAGGAACTTTTAATCCATGTGACCTTTGCAGCTTCTTAAACTTTTTTTTTCTATTTTCTTCCAAGGGGAAAATGGGAGGATAATGCATTTTTATACGGTAGTTGTAATTTCCTCAGGGAACCCTTGAAAGAATTCTTTCTGACAAGACGTTCTCCCAGCACTGTGTAGATTCTAGAGATTTTCATTGGAGAATGTTGAAACAGAAAAGCTTATGAACCTGCTAACAGTAACAATTTTCTGTCACCGGAAAGAAAAGAGATGTCAAGAACTGTTAAAAATGTAGTTAGTTTCAATTCCATTTACTTGCTCTGTTGTTTGAGTTAACCTAGACTACTGAAGTCTTACTAATTTTCATGCTGAATTTCTTCAAGTCCTTATTATTAATGATCTGAAATGTGTCATCTACGGGGAAGAAATGGCATTGGCAGTGGGTGGAGCACTTACATTTTTCTGATCAGGTGCATCTCTGCAGGGGTGGTTTTATTTGCCTTTATGACAAAACTAGGTGACATGAGGTTGACTGTCAAGACTGCTCTTTGGTGTAATGTAAATTCATTCCGGAAGCAATTTGTGTGTTGTGTAAATTACTAATCTGTCAGAAGTTTTTTTTTTAAGTAGCTTTTCACATAAGCATACCCTGAAAGTGAGTTTTTCATCAGTATGCTTGGTGAACTGAACAGCCTATGGATTTCAGAAAGGCAATAGAACCATTGTTCAGTCTTTTAGCTGAAATAATTCAGTTAAAATACAGTGGGGAGCATCAGTTTGGAAGACATTACTGTGTTTGAAAAAAACAACAAAACAAACAACTAATAAATAAGTAACAATACTAAGTTTGTCTGTATTAGCAAGTAATATGGATTGAGAGGAGTGGATCTGTAGACTGAAAGAGGTGCTGAGAACCTGACATTAATGTGCACTTATTTTGGAGTTTTCTGTCTTATTTGGACTGTGTTTAGTTTGGTCACCTGGAATAGGAGCCTGTTTGTGGTTGAAGAGCATTACCAGTGCACCTAAATTGCATCTTTCAATTTAGTGTAGTCCAAAAGGAAACCAGATGATGATCCAAGAGCATTATGTGGTGTAAACAAAACTGTAGTAAGAGGAAGTGACTGGAGATCTGCTTCAGAAGTTCAGTCCTGACCTGAAAAGAAATGCCAAAATAAATGAACCCTAAATAACCTTAGGCCTCTTTTCTAAAAGTAATTTAATGGAATGCTCTCAGAATTAAAGGTAGATCTTTGCTGCAAAGAGCTGGGCACTGGCTGTGCTCCACTCCAAATACTTTGTACCAGTGCCTGCTGTAGTTTGCTGTCATTTTAAAAAAACTCTTTTCAATGCTTTCAGTAATCTTCTCAGATGCATCTATGTTTGCTTCAGGGCACTGCTACTTATATTCCAACAAAAGAAATACCTTCTTTTTTTTTTGCTGCTCTCTTAAACATCATTTAGGGCAATAAAATGTAGCTTCAATGTAATTTAATCACAGGTTAAGACTTGTTAGGAACAATGAAAATTTGTAGTTGAATTGCATTGCCTTGTGGATTTTTCTTACTGTTTCATGACCAAACACCCTAGCTGCATGATGAACTCTAGGCTCTATTGATGGGGAAAGGTCTCCAGATGTTTGAAAATGTATATGAGGGTCAGTTTTCTTGAGCATTTTACAGCATTTCCATTAGATAAGCAATTTGTACAAATAAGTAACATGAATGTTAGGGGATTAAATGATGGGTTTGATCATGTTTCAGTTCCTGGCACACAGCTTCAGTGCAAGTTGAATACCCTTTGGGAAAAGAGCTAACTCGGATTGTTGAAACATTGCAGAGAAAACAATTTAAAATTTTCTGTTGCTATTGAGATTTTGTAAATGCTATTTCCTAAAAATCTACACTTGAACCTGGACTAGGCAAGTAGTTAATGGATGTACCAAGTCAGTCTTTTGCTGTGGAGAGCAAGCGCAGCATCGTCTTGGTTGTGGCAGGTACAAACAGAACAGATGGGCTCAGTCCTGCGATGACTTGCATTTCAGGTTAGAGAGTACTTGGAGGCAGTAAGCAGACAAGAAGCATCAAGGCAGTTGAAATTATTTATCAAGTGTGGGCAGTTCATGTAATGAAATGTTTTTGTATTGTGTACATAGTAATGTTTGAAAGCGAACAACAAAATGACATACTAACAGCATGCAGTATGTTCTAGGGCATAAACACACCTTGCTTTTTCAGTAGCCTTTGCTCGCTGTATTTTTTTTTTTAAGTAGCAAATAACATGAAGTGATATTTCAGAATCCTCTGCTAAGTTGTTATCCCAGGCTCATATGAAACTAACACTAAATGACATGTCTTTGTGGGTCAAGGTCAATCAAATACAGTTATTGTCAGTCATGCAGATGACAGAGACTGAGTTTTTAAGCCTGAGTAAAAAAAGTCTTTATTTTTTCATTAGTGGTGAGTAGTGTCTTCATAATGACACTACCTAACTAGTCTGACCTTACCCTCAATTTGAATCTGTTAGCTCATTTTAGGTGTCTTCCATAGACCAAAAGAAGTCATTTTGAGCTTTCTGGCCATTCAAGGAGTAGCATGCCTCTTTCTTTTCAGAATATTCTGAAGCTACTTGTACTATTTGAGCCTTAAAAACTGTTTTCTGACTTATTTAACTGTTCTTCTCCTGTCTGCTCTGCTTTGTTCTTTGATCTTGGAATGCCTCTGCCTATCCAACTTGCTTCTCTGCTCTTGTGCTATTGCTGCCAGTCTTTTGAAATACTCTGTTTCCTGGCTCTTTCTGTGCTTTTTGGAAATATATGAGGAGAAAAGCATGTGCTACTTTCCTTTTTCTTCTAACAGCAAGCTGGCTTGCTTTGCTGAGAAGAGCCTTTTCCTTTGGAGAGGTTCTTCTGCCTGAAATACATTACACTGTTAGAGTTGTTCCTGAATTTCAAAAGCTAACTTAATACCTTGGCAGCTGTAATGGCTGCGTAATTGACAACATCTGCCTCATTCTGATTTCTGATGAGAAAATAAATTATTGCTGAGCTAGCTGGCATTCTAAGGCAGAAGCCAACTCTTTAATAATGATGTATGGCTTTTCTCATTAATGGAGTCAGATCTTGAAAAGTTAAGCCTTCTTGGAAAGTCCCATCTCCTAGAAAAGCTGTTGGTAAAAAGGAAGAAAAAAAGAAAGAAGAAAAAACCCACCAAAATAGTTCAGTGGGAAAGGAAAGAATATGACATAACTGAAATCATCTGTGTTTTGTCTTGGTTGACTGGCTTCTTACTCTACTATAAAGCTTTTAAGACATCAGGAAAGCAACTTTTGAAAGAGTTTGGAAGAAAGCAGAGGTTCAAATCCTGTAATATTTCTAAAAGAGGTATCTGTGCGGGAGAGCTGTTAGCCTAAGGCCTCTCAACTTTTGTTGAGCTCAGTTTAGCCGCTTTTAAGAAAAACCACCCTGAAATCTGTAACTGATGAGAAAAAGAACTGGTGAATTCTTGCAGAGCTCACTCAGGCAAGTTGGGTGGCACTGCTTATTGGTGACTGAGCTGGACAAATAGGTGTGCTTGAGCAGCGAGTAATCCTGTCTATTCGCATCCCCGTGTGGTATTCTGCCTGCTTGAAATTGAGACGTTGCTCACTGTTTGTCATGACAGAGCACTTAACGACACCCATGCAGAATATTTGAATCATCTTTACATTTTGAGGATTGAATGTTTTATGAGTGTCAGGGGTTTATCTGAGGAGTCTTATTTCTCAAAGTGTTTGCTAGTTCAGGGGATAGAAAAATGACATTCTCAAAGCTTGCAGCCATAAAGATAAAAGCATGATTGATGTTCTTCAATAGCAGCTTGACAGCTTTGCTGTTCCAGCATGTTAATTATGCATAAATAAGTAGCATTAGCAGAGCTGCTGATGCAGTTTTTGAAAGAAGCTAATTTAGAGTATTGCCTGTGATTATCTGAGTTTGTATGTGGTATCAGGAAAGTAGCTTTTGCTTTCTTTTCTTTTTTTTTCTTTCCCCTCCAAACTATTGTCAAAATAGGTTATGACTAAATGCAAACATGACAAGCAGTTTTAGCAGAGGATGTGGAGTTGCATGGTAGGGTCTTGTTCAGAATTACAGTGAAATACTTACTCATGTGTAAGGTGGAAAAGATATTTTAATGTCTTCCTCCCATCTTAATTTCTGGGCATGTCTTGTATATCTGAATGCCTGGTAGACTAATGAAGTCTCTTGGTGATATCTTTGCAGGGAGTGCCTTACTTAGGGAACAGGTGTAGTCTACAGTACAATTACAGCAGTCTCAGCTTTTGCTGCTTGCAGTCTGAATAAACTTTTCTTCATGCTTTATACTCTCATGCTGTCCTGAAAGATGTCCCGGTTTACTACAGTTCACTACATCAAAATCTTTGGGGAAAGAGCTGGAAATCTTGCCAAAACATGCTATATGCTCTAGGAGGTGAGAGAGGCTAAGAAGTTTAAAAGCGGACAAAACCAAACCTAAAACTTATGTAGAGGAGTGTTATATCTCTTGCATGTGAACCAGAGTTAAAAGCCTATAGGGAGGAGAATCACTTATGCTCAAAATATTGGGGGGGGGG